ATCACCCTTTAGCCCCGCCTACCATTCACAACACCCCGCACACCCACCCATAGCCCCGCCCACTACGCCCACCGGAAGTCCCTCCCGCCGGAAGTCCCGCCCACCTGGGGGCGGATCTGTCTCTCGTGCCACCCACAGGAAGTCACCGACCGGCAACCGGCGCAGCTCCACCCGCTGCCCCACAGCCTGCAGGGGGGGCAGCGCCCCGCGGGACCGGCCCGGGCTGTGGGGCACGGAGTGGGGTCACCCCATAGGGTACGGGGTCACCCCATAGAGGTGGGGTCACCCCACTGGGATATGGGTCACCCCATAGAGGTGGGGTCACCCCATAGGGATATGGGTCACCCCATAGGGTACGGGGTCACCCAGTAGACGTGGGGTCACCCCATAGAAGTGGGATCACCCCATAGGGATACGGGGTCACCCTATAGAGGTGGGGTCACCCCATAGGGTACGGGGTCACCCCATAGGGATATGGGTCACCCCATAGGGATACGGGGTCACCCTATAGAGGTGGGGTCACCCCATAGGGATATGGGTCACCCCATAGGGTACGGGGTCACCCCATAGGGATGTAGGGTCACCCCATAGGGATATGGGTCACCCCATAGGGTACGGGGTCACCCCATAGAGGTGGGGTCACCCCATAGAAGTGGGATCACCCCATAGGGATACGGGGTCACCCTATAGAGGAGGGGTCACCCCATAGGGTACGGGGTCACCCCATAGAGGTGGGGTCACCCCATACGGATATGGGTCACCCCATAGGGTACGGGGTCACCCCATAGAGGTGGGGTCACCCCATAGAAGTGGGATCACCCCATAGGGATACGGGGTCACCCTATAGAGGTGGGGTCACCCCATAGCAACAGAATCACCCCATAGAAGTGGGGTCACCCCATAGGGATACGGGGTCACTCTATAGAGGTGGCGTCACCCCATAGGAATCGGATCACCCCATAGAAGTGGGGTCACCCCATAGAAGTTGGGTTACCCCATAGGGATATGGGGTCACCCCATAGAGCTGGGGTCACCCCATAGGAATGGGGTCACCCTATAGAATTGGGGTCACCCCATAGGTATATGGGCCACCCCATAGTGATGGGATCACCCCATAGAGATGTGTGTCACCCTATAGAGCTGTGTGTCACCCCATAAAGATGTTAGTCACCCCATAGAGCTGCAGATCACCCCATAGAGATGTGGGTCACCCCATAGAGATGTGCAGCACCCCATAGAGCTGTCCGTCACCCCATAAAGCTGTGTGTCACCCCATAGAGCTGCGTGTCACCCCATAGTGGTCTGTCACCCCACAGAGCTGCATGTCACCCTATAGAGCTGCGTGTCACCCCATAGAGCTGCGTGTCACCCCATAAGGATGTGTGTCACCCCATAGAGCTGTGTGTCACCCCATAGAGCTGCGGGTCACCCCATAAGGATGTGTGTCACCCCATAGCGATGTGTGTCACCCCATAGAGCTGCGGGTCACCCCATAAGGATGTGTGTCACCCTATAGAGCTGCGTGTCACCCCATAAGGATGTGTGTCACCCCACAGACCTGCGTTTCACCTATAGAGCTGCGTGTCACCCCATAGAGACATGGGTCACCCCATAGAGCTGTCTGGCACCCCATAGAGCTGTCTCTCACCCCATAGAGACGTGTGTCACCCCATAGAGCTGCGTGTCACCCCATAGCAATGTCTGTCACCCCATAAAGATGTGGGTCACCCCATAGAGCTGCGTGTCACCCCATAGAGACGTGGGTCACCCCATAGCGATGTTTGTCACCCCATAAGGATGTGTGTCACCCCATAAGGATGTGTGTCACCCCATAGAGATGTGCAGCATCCCATACAACTGCGTGTCACCCCATAGAGCTGTGTGTCACCCCATAAAGATCTTAGTCACCCCATAAAGATGTGTGTCACCCCATAGAGCTGCGGGTCACCCCATAGAGCTGCGTGTCACCCCATAAGGATGTGTGTCACCCCATAGCGATGTGTGTCACCCCATAGCAATGTCTGTCACCCCATAGCGATGTGTGTCACCCCATAAGGATGTGTGTCACCCCATAGCAATGTCTGTCACCCCATAGCGATGTGTGTCACCCCATAGCAATGTGTGTCACCCCATAGCGATGTGTGTCACCCCACAGAGCCGCGCGCCACCCACAGACCCACCCGGTGCCCTCGGTGACATCAGCGCACAGCAGCACCTCGAAGTGCCCCGGGCGCAGCTCCACCCGTTCCTCGATGGCACCCCTACGGCACAGAGATCACGTGATGTCCATCGGTCACATGACTCCTCTATCCTCCTTCCCCCAGTCACGTGACACCTCCTGACCGCCCCACCCCAACCCCGTGGTCACGTGACCCTGGGGGCGGCTCCAACCATCGCTCAATGTCACCCCCATAGTGGAGATCACGTGACATCCAGGAGTCACATGACCCCTCTGTTTACCTCCCCCCTCCTAAGGTCACGTGACACCCCCCCCGACCTCCACCCCAAGGTCACGTGACCCAGGGAGCAGCTCCAACCTCCAACCTCCATTCCTCGATGTCACCCCTAAGGCAGAGAGATCACGTGATATGCAAGGGTCACATGACTCCTCTATCTCCCCCCAGGTCACGTGACACCTCCTGACCCCCCCACCCCAGCCCCGTGGTCACGTGACCCCAAGAGCAGCTCCAATCATCACTCGATGTCACCCCCATAACAGAGATCACGTGACAACCATGGGTCACATGACCCTTCAGTTTACCCCCCCCACAAGATCACATGACACCCCTGACCCCACCCCACAGTCACGTGACTCCAAGAGCAGCTCCAACCACTCCTCGATGTCAGCCCTACGGCAGAGATCACGTGACATCCAGGGGGTCACACGACCTCTCGCTTATTTTTCCCACGGTCACATGACCCATCCCACGGTCACGTGACCCTTCCCCATAGCCCTTACTCTGGGGACGGAGCGCTGTCCAAAGATGGGGCGGAGTCTTCGGAAGAGGCGGGGCTTACAGGGGCGTGGTCACCGGAAGGGGCGGGGCTATCGGCAGCCATCGCCGTGCGGGCGGGGTCTGAGAGGGCGGGGTGCACCGGAAGGGGCGGGGCTTCGGTGCTCTCAGCCAATCGCTGAGCCAGGAGGCGGCCACGGTC